GAGGGAAGGAAAGGTTAGACTAGAGGTAGAAAAGAAAATCAATGGTGACTCAGAAAAAAGGAAAAAATAAATGATTTTGAGGGATGAGAGTCAAAGTGTTAAGTGGTGACTGAAAGATAAGGAAATAGCAAAGATTGTCCTGACTGAGTTGTTCAGTTGGTTGAGCATCAATCATCCTGTGCACCAAAAGCTTGCAAGTTTGGTCCCTGGTCAGAGTGAGTAAGGGAGGCAACCCATTGATATTTCTCTTTCACATTGATGTTTCTCTCTATAGCAAAGATTGAAAATATTCTATTAGATGTTAAACTATTTTTACATTTTCCATACCAGCATTAGTGGAATGATTAAGAATAAATGCAATGCTGATTGTAATATTAAAGAATGAAGGGAGTTGAGGAAATGAAGGCAATGATTATAAGCTATTTCTGTTAATTCAAGTTTAGGTAGTGAATTCACTTCCCAAGCTTTCCACTCTGCAGTATCTCACCAGTGACATAGAGTGATTCAGTGAAGTGATTTGTGAATTTGTGAGGCTAGCTGCTTATTCGTGTTTCTTGAAACAGTCTTCTGACTTGATTTCACTGATCTACAATCTCTTGGTCTTCTTTTATGTCCTCTGCCACTTCTTTACTTTCTCCTAGGTAGGCTGTTCTTCCTGAAGGTTAGAATCCCTAACAATTATGCCTGGTCCTATTTTACTCTCCTTTTAGATGCTTTCTATTGGAGAGAGAGAGAGAGAGAGAGAGAGAGAGAGAGAGAGAGAGAGAGAGAGAGAGAGAGAGAGAGAGAGAAAGTGGGGGGGAGAGAAGAAATGGAGAGAAACATTGATTTGTTGTTCCATTTATTTATGCATTCATTGATTGATTCTTTTATTTGCCTTCACTGAGGATTGAACTCACAACCTTGGTGTCAGCCTTAGTGTCCTCCTTGGCATCAACCTTGGCATATCAAGATGATGCTCTAGCCTTAGCCAGTTGGCTCAGTAGATAATCAGCCTACAGACCAAAGGGTCCCTGGTTTGAATCTGGTCAGGGGCATGTATTTTGGTTGCAGGCTCCTCCCCAGCTTGGACCCTGGTCAAGGCACATGCAGGAGGCAACCAATTGATATGTTTCTCTCACATTGATGCTTTTCTCTGTCTTTCCCTCTCTCTTCCACTCTCTCTAAAAGATGAATTGAGAAATATCCTGAGGTGAGGATTAACAACAACAAAAAAAGAAACGATGCTTTAACTAACCTAGCCAGGGCCTCATATGCTTTCTAGATAATCTTACACATGTACACAGGTTCATTTCTCTTGCCCATTTCTCACACAATAGTTGATTTACAGGTGTTAAATCAGTAAAATAATTTTTTATTCTAGCATTTATACTAATTAGCTCTGCTGTTTTTTTAATGATTATTTTTACTAAATACATTTTGAGAATATCTCGATTTTTCATGTATATTTTTAATTGAAAATTTTTATTTTGATTATTCAAATACCAGCATGTCTATGATTTAAAGATAACCTTTTTTTGTTTTGTTATTTCAATATGACATTAAATTAATTAGCATTCCAAATTTAATAAAAATAGTTTTATATTTCGTACCTAAAGTTTACATGTTTGCTTTTTATATGCCAGGTGGTTGTGAGAGCTCTGATGAAAACAACTTTACCCGCTTTGAATGTGCTTCTGGTCTGCCTTATGATCTGGCTGGCTTATAGCATCATAGGAGTAATCTTATTTGCTGGCAAGTTCTATGAATGCATTGACCCAACTAGTGGAGAAAGATTTCCTACATATGAAGTCAGTAATGAGACTGAATGTGCAAGTCTCCTATTCAATGAATCCATGCCATGGGAGAATGCAAAACTGAACTTTGATAATGTTGGAAATGGTTTCCTTTCATTGCTTCAAGTAGTAAGTGTGCTTTTGATTTTATCAACTTTTACATGTGCATTCATATTGTAGGTAAACCTAAGGACAAAATGTGGATGGTTCATAGAATTGGCAATAAATTATTTTATCTATTATTTGTTCATAGATACATGTTATAAACAAGTAGGTTCATTTGGAAAAACAAAAGTGAAGCAGCTGAAGCCGGTTTGGCTCAGTGGTAGAGCATCGGTCTGCGGACTGAAAGGTCCCGGGTTTGATTCCGGTCAGGGGCATGTATGTTGGCTGCGGGCACATCCCCTGTGAGGGATGTGCAGGAGGCGACTGGTCGATGTTTCTCTCTCATCGACATTTCTGGTTCTCTATCTCTCTCCCTTCCTCTCTGTGAAAAATCAATAAAATATATATATATTTTTTAAAAGTGAAGCAGTTCCTGTACTTTTTGGAGAAGGCAGGGGAGATGAAGGCAGGACTGACTGCGGAAATGGCAGGTACTGGCAAAACCTGCTTCCATCACTGATCATGTACTAGGGTCACAATTTTGGTACATCTCATGTTACTACAGTTTTATTCCTACTTAGTGCTTGGAAAATGACTACTCAGCCACCCAACATCTAGCAGATGTGAGGAGGTGAACCATGCTTGTCTTGGCTTCCCCATAGAAAAGCACATGTAATGGCAGTTACAAGTAACTATGATACCTGAGCAGCATGTATTTATTTACTATTTACCTATCTCTCTATCTATATTTCTGCCTTTCTATTTATACTATGTTAAAATATTTTTAGTTACCAACTACAGTTATGCTAAGTAGTGTTAAATATTTGCTAACAGACAACATAAATGTAATAATGAAAATGGTAGGAATCTCAGTTACACAATATATTGAAGTGTGGTCAGTCTTACTAATCAAATGTTTTACTATATTAATAACAGATTGATTTTTACTTTTATTTGCCACGAAGCATAAAATTTCCATAAGAATTAAACACATGCCATTGTTTTACAGGCAACATTTAATGGATGGCTCAGTATTATGAATTCAGCTGTTGACTCTACTGGTGTAAGTACAACATAATCCTAAAGCCATTGTTATAATTCAAGCAAAGTAATTTTTCTAATTTAAGAACAGGGCACCAGCAAGAACAATAATAAACAGTGTAAAAGCAAATACTGATGCTAAACAAAAGTTAAATGCTATTCAGATTGAGTATTTCATGGACAAGGAAGTCCTTTCAGAATTATATACAATGGTTGAGGCCCAATAGGCCCACTTGAAGGATTATCAGACTTCATAACTATTATTAAACCAATATAATAACTTTAAAATCCAATAAACAAAGCAATGATATCCCTTCACCAGTGATCAAAGAGGGAAAATACCTCAGGTAGCATTGTTGGATTTTTTTGTCAGAAATTATTTTAAATATCTAATGTTTTAAAAAGTCAGTACCAATATTTTCCTTATTTTTTCACTTTTTATACATTTTTACTTTTAAAGAATTTCTTTTTAGTGCAGTTTTAGGCTTACAACATAATTGAGAGGGAGGTACAAATATTTTCCAAATACCCCTTTCCTCTACACATGCATGACTAGAATGGTGTGTGTGTGTGTGTGTGTGTGTGTGTGTGTGTGTGTGTATTAACCAAAAATGAATTTACATTGACATGTCATAATTAATCAAAGTTCGTAGTTTACCCTGGGATTCACTTGTACATTCTTTGGGTTTAGACAAATATGTGGTGACATGTATCCATTATTACAATATCATATAGAGTATTTTCACTGCTCTAAAATTCCTGTATGCTCTTTCTCATTTTGTTTATTTTTTAACTTCACTTTTAGGTGGATCTGCAGCCTGATTTTGAAGCGAATGTCTATATGTATTGTTACTTTATTGGTTTTATTATCATTGGATTATTTCTTCCTCTGACTATGCTGGTCGGTGTTATTCTTGCTAATTTCAACAAGAATAAAATAAAGATAAGTATAAATATCAAACACATTTATAAGAATGTCCTGCTTCAAATGATTGATTTTGGATTCAACTTAATGTCATTTCTATTTGGTACTCAGCTAAAAAAAAGATCAATGTTCCTGCATATTGATAAACATTGCTAAAATGTTCATTCTGTACGTTGTTTTCTATATTCAAGTATGTACAGACAAATTTAAAAGGTAAAGATTCCAAGTGTTTCTATATGTACTAGTATGTTCATAAATAATGGCATGCTAAAAAAAAAAAAAAAAAAAGCATTGTGCATTCGAGCTAATATGTGAAGACTACACCTTTTCCTCTCTAAAATTTTCAGTCTTCAGAGTCATAAGCAGCATAGACATCTTCTCAGTTAGAGTAGCTTTCATGCTAGAAGTAGAGAGAGTCATACATTTGAGTTGGATTAGTTTAAATAGGAGTGCTTAATTAGAAAGAATTCAGAGTCAGAATTGAACCACTTCTTTGGTGCCATTTTCATGTAAATGCTTCCACAAATTGCAAAGGTTTCAGAATTCATCTACGTCTACTTATTCTGACCACCAGGACATACTTTTTATTGGGTGAGGAAAGCCTTCTAACAAAGCAAAGAAAAGAATTGTTTAATTTGAAAAGTACAAGCCATGTCAGCAAAGTTTAGCTATGTGCAGATTCTGGTAAACAAACAACTCTGAATCTCTACTAATCAGATGTGATTAGAGAGGTTGGTAGTCAAATTTCTAGGAAGATAAGCCTTTCTAGAGATTCTCTTTTCCCTTTGTCTTGGTCTAACAAGAGGTAGCTCAGTAAACTGAAAATTTAAAATAGGCTGACCACCCACAGGAAGGTGCCCCAAAAGATAACTAAAATCAATCACTACCAATATGTATTCCGTATGTTTTATATGGATTTTTGTGCAGAAAATTAGACTTGTTCAAACATGATTTATTTCATTGCAGTTAAGCCTTTCTTTAATTTAAACATTAAATCAATCATTATCAAGGTTTCCAAAATGAATATTAATATAAAATTAAATTTGGATTCAATCTGATTTTAATATATTTTTCTTTCATTTCTTTACCAGGGAGGCTCCAATATCTTTTTAACAGAAAAACAAGAGAAACAATATCTAGCACTGAAGAAACTGATGTATGAGGACTCTCAAAAAACAATACCTCACCCAAGAGTAAGAAAACAGATTTTTTAAAAAGTTTCTTAAAATTTTTCCTTGATATATTCATCTTTAAATTAAACATGTTTTTAAAATTCTTAACAAATGCTTTTGACAATTTTTTTTCTAAATGTGTTTCTTGGCAAAGCTTTTGATGGTCTTATTTGCTTTGTATGCTATAATTCTAGTTTGATAAAAACTTAGGTCCTGACTTTCTCTCCTATTTATGCTGGGAGGAAAGATATAAACCTAAAGTCTATGTGTGTGTATAGATATCCTGTTAATATGAGTATTACACCTTTTTGTTCACCCACAGAACAAGTTCCAGAGATTCGTCTTTGACTTGGTTACAAGTCAAGCTTTTAATATCATCATTATGGTTCTTATCTGTTTCCAAGCAATAACCCTTATGATTCAAAGTGATGAACAGAGTAGCCAAATGGATTCCGCTGTCATCTGGCTTCAGCTACTTTTTGTTATTCTATACACTGGAGAATGTGTGCTGAAGCTCATTGCTTTCCGTTGTAACTATTTCACCAGTGGATGGAACATTTTAGATTTTATAGTGGTCATTTTCTCTATTACAGGTAAGATTTCATGTAATCAGATTTTCACTTGTAGTAATATTAATTCAAGCAAGTTCTTATAGTAAATGTCTTCTCTTACTCAGCAAAGCAGTTATTTCCAACATAAATGCTTTACAGTTTTACATATTATATAAAAATGTTTGTACACATGCCTGAAATATATAAAATATTCAAAAATACTGTTTGAATTAATACACAGACTTTAATGTTGTGTATTAAAGTAAATATTTAATTACCCCTTCAGCATATCAACTAGATTATTTTTCTAGGATGACATTAAATATCTATATATCCTAGCATAATATAAACTTTCAAGCTCACTATTTTTCCTTTCCTCTAATCTCTAAAACTACTTACAGCTTTCACAACAGTAGAATTTAATGCTCTAGGTCACTAGTTTTACTCCAGAGACTAGTGATTCTCTTCTCCCCCACTTTTTCAACTCAAAATGAACCACATCACCTCCAGTACTTCCAGAGATCATTCTCATGCTTTTTATGACAGTTATAATTTCACCTTGTTTTATAGTTCTGTCTTCACTTTCATAGTTCCCTCTACTGCAAAACAATTGTGCCAGGTAAAGATTCAGATAATCAATTCACATGGAAAGCTCCCATGAGCTCAAATACTGTTTATGAAATAAATTAATTAAATTATAACCTGTGAGTCACTGGATACAGTGTACAGATGATGTGCTGTGAAATTGTCCACCTGAAACCTGTATAATTTTGTTAGCCAATATCACCCCAATAAATTCAATTAAAAAATTTTGTAATTATATTTACCAACCAGATTTCTCTGCTTTGCATTATAATTAGTTTAAATGTCTTATTCTATAGATTCCAGAATTTTTGAGGACAGAACCACATTAATCATCTTTGCATATTTATGCAACACCTTTATTAAGTATCCAATTAAATATCCAATAAACTTCTTGATTCAAGTACTATCAGAAAATAATGACTACTGTCCTATGTTATAGATTCATGCCCTCTGTTATTCTAGAGGTATTCGAGACATAATACTCTTAAGGTGATGATGCAAAGAATTCTCCTCCAAACTTTACTAGATACTCTGAGCATTGCCATAGCTATTATTTGGCTAACGCTAACCCAAACTTTCAATGTGTGCTAACATGCTATATCGGGAGGATGAATAAAATGATTTACTTATAGAAAAAGGTGAAGTGTAAAATAAATGTATATTCCTCCAAGTACCATGAAATGTAAGTAATTTGATTGCTTGCTTTATCTTTCCCAACATCAAGGACTACTTCTGCCTCTGCTAGGAGAATACTACTTTATACCTCCTTCTGTCCTGCAACTGATAGTTCTCTCCCGGATCGTCCACATCCTGCGTCCTGGGAGAGGACCAAACGTGTTCCATGAGCTGCTGCTCCCTCTGGTGCTCTTCTTCCCCACACTGCTGAACATCAGCCTCCTCATCTTCCTGGTCATGTTCATCTACGCCATCTTCGGAATGTACAATTTTGCCTATGTTAAAAAGGAAGCTGGGATTAACGATGTGTCCAACTTTGAAACCTTTGGCAGCAGTATGCTCTGTCTTTTCCAAGTTACAATATTTGCTGGTTGGGATGGGATGCTCAATGCAATTTTTAACAGTAAATGGTCTGACTGTGATCCCGATAAAATTAACCCTGGGACCCAAGTGAGAGGAGATTGTGGTAATCCCATTGTCGGAATTATTTATTTTGTCAGCTACATCCTCCTAGCATGGCTGATCATTGTCAACATGTACATTGCTTTTATTATGGAGTTTGTAAATATTGGCTCTAAAAAAAGAGCCAAGACCTTGAGTGAAGATGATTTTAGGAAATTCTTTCAGGTATGGAAGAGGTTTGACCCTGAGGGGACCCAGTACATAGATTCTAGCAAGCTCTCAGATTTTGCAGCTGCTCTGGATGCTCCTCTTTTCATGGCAAAACCAAACAAGGGCCAGCTAGTGGCCATGGATCTTCCAATGGCTGTGGGGGACAGAATTCATTGCCTGGACATCTTACTTGCTTTTACAAAGAGAGTTGTTGGTAAAGATGTGAGGATGGAGAAACTTCTTTCAGAGATGGAATCGGGGTTTATTTTAGCTAACCCTTTTAAGATCACATATGAGCCCATTACAACTACCCTGAAACGAAAACAAGAGGCTGTCTCGGCAACCATCATCCAGCGTGCTTATAAAAGTTACCGTTTGAGGCAGAGTGACAAAAAAACATCAGATATCCATATGATAGATGATGACAGGGAAGCTCAAGCAACCAAAGAAGATGCCTAATTTGAGAAAGCTTAGGAAAATCAACTATTCAAAGTCAGATCTAGTTCCATCTACCGCCTTTTCACCTTCTTTACATAGCTCAAAAATGTTAAAAGTTTAAGACAGAAATAAAATCAAAGATTAGAGATAGTAAAGATTTCACTTAATCATCAATTGTTTACAACTCATGGAAGTTAAGCTGTTTTCACAAGATTTTTATATTAAATTCACCGTTTTACCCCTCTGTATTCAACGTAACCAAGATAACACTTTAAGTCACTGTAGTGAATTAAAGTGGTTTAAATACCCCATTTGATAACCCAGTGTGTGGGTTCTATATATGATTTACATAGTGTGTACTTCCTCTGGAGAATGGGGAGGAGGTGGCAGAGATTAGTAGCAAAAGGGTCTTATATATTTTATGTATATTTAATTTGATGGGATTTAAGTCCCCTCTTTCTTAATGTAGGATAGTGTTTAAAAACAGTTCAATGCTACAAGCCATTAAATCATGAACTCAGCTACACAGATGCCAATTGGGGGAAGAGGAAGGGCAGTTCTTAGAAAGTGCCTTTAAGATCAATCACAAAGACCTTGGGCTGAATCAAACCACATTTGAAAAAGATTGATTGGAGATCTCTTGTTGTTTTCTTTTTCTTTTTGGTATGAGGAAGGGGGATTCATGTTTTTCATTGTTCTTGGATTCCTGGTTTCTCATCTCTGGCTAGTTCCACCTAAGTTCAGCTCTTCAACAGAATGATTCTTAGAAGAAGAAAAATAAAGGGAAACACATTTTTTAAAGTGTACATTTATTAAAATGATATAATAGGCTATGCTAATAGACTCAAGTCTTACACTATCATAGGCCTGATGTATTTTGCTAGTTATCCATAATGTAACATTGAGTATATAAGATCTGGCAAATGCATATAATAAAATGAATTACAAGAGTCAAGGGCTACCATTGTGTCTAGGGATTTCCACAGTGTCTTGATCCTGGGAAATTGGCCAATTTCATTGGGAAACTGACCAATTTGAAGTATGTTTTGCTGTATTTTATGGTTCTTTATAATTTAGAGAGAGAAAATGATCAAAGAAACTATGAGAACTCTGAATTAGATCAAAGTGTAAGTTTGCTATTAGTGGGATTTTATAACATTAATGTATGCAAGTTAGGTTACACTTACTCATTCATCATTCCAAGTTCTTTGTTGTTTCTGTCCCATCACATACATAACTACTTTGTAAAATGTTTTATGTCTGAAACACTTTAATTTTAGGTATTAAAATTATTTTGAAAAGATAGGCACAAAATTGTTTTTTGATATCATAAAAATGCAGTCACATCCACTAAGTTTGAGATCCTGAAATTTATTCATTTTGTATAAAATTTGCTATCAATGTGCCTATAAAACCCTAAAGGATTCAAAACGAAAATAATCTATACTGTAAGCTTAAATGGCAAGTTTTCAATATGTTGTAGGACATTCAATGCCATTCAAATATCAATTGTATTTTATTATGAATGCATGATCTTGAGCCTTAACTATTATAATCTAACTATCTTTGCTCCTCAGAAATGTATTAACCTGACCAAGATGCCTTTGGGGAACCTTATCCCCCATAAGCAAATATAACTTCAGGGTTCTGTTCTTTCCTCTGTGCTCCTTCCCTTTCTCCTCCCGCTCTCCATCAGGAATGTGATGGGGACCATAAGAGATCAGTGTTAACTTGGTAACCTGTTGACCTGGTGCTTTGTCTAAGCTTATCAGTTTTCTGTGTCTTGGAAGTGCTTTAATGCAGACACTGCTTCCAATATTTAACCTAATCTTAACTTGCTTCTGTAAATTCCATAAAGACCACAAACTGATTTTAGTTTGAAAGTTATATCTCTTACTTGTAAACTGTGTTTGCCACCAACCGACCAATATTGTGTAAAGAATTATTTTTAACAAAGTCATACAATATATTCTACTTTTCAGATACTTTAGAGAAAATAATAAATGCAACCTGTTAATCGCACTACATTTTGTCTTTTCTTTGGCAAGTCAGTTTGGCAACTCTCTATAATAAAGAAAACAAACAAAACTTTAATAATGAGTCTTACATTATAGTTCATTCAGGTTCAAAATTCAAAACTGGGAAAATTTGTACTTTCTTTTTATTCACTTAATTTAGTGAACTCAATTGTTAGTAAGCTTACCAGAGACCCCTACATATTAACAACATATAAAAAACATTATTTTCATTGAAATCATATTTAGTTCATTATATGTATTTCAGTATTATTAGAACCTGAATATTGAAATTAGAAAAAAAATGTTGAAACTAAATTTATTAGTATGCAAAAAAATATTGATATGCTATTATTTCCCAATATCTGCTTCTTTAAAAATTGTTTCTGGTCTTCTAATAAGTATAATTATTGAAAGGGTTATAACGATTTGGAAATGGCTACCATTTGTTAGGCAGACTGTTATGTCCAGTATCATGCTAAATGTTTTTCATGCATAAGCTTAGCATTCACAACACTCATGAAATGGTGATTCTCATTTTATAGATGAAAAACATTAAGATTAGAAGGGTTATAAGAACTTTTATCAAGCACAGAACTCTTAAATGACAGGCCAGGACTCTAAACCAGGTCTAGTCTCAGAGCCTTAATATTTAATTACTCTGTACAATAACTGTCTAGTAATAAATGACCTCAGTAGAGACAGAGGAAGTTTAAGATTAGTGAAATTGCTATATAAATATAAGGAGTATCTATCTCTATGTTTGTCTTAGTCTCTATGTCCATCACTATGTCCTCTTCTGTGGAGGAAATTTTAAAAGTAGAGACAAGCCCAGGTAAACCCAGATCCTGGATAGATAAACATACATACATACAAACATACAAAGACAAATCTGAGACAAAATAACTTCCTGAATACTGCGGGGAATACATAGCTATATAGCTGATTATAATATGTGGTAATTTTTATGCCACTGGTATAAATTATGTATACAGAAGAAGTTATGGGTTCTGATTGGAAATTAGTAAAGCACAGGTGAAGTTAGTAAAGCACACCTCTGAAGAAAAAGAAAGATTTTATCAATTAGAAAAGAAGGTAAATATCTTGATTTATTTATGGTGTTTTTGAGTATATCTCTTTGTATATTTTTGGTAGTGATTATTCTGGGTATTACTACCAATCTAACAATCTATCTACCTATGAATTACACAGTCTAATAATTTTAACATTTTACCACTTTGAGTGAAGTGTGGAAGTCCCATTAAGGTCCCTTTATCTTCTTTGTTTTAAAATAGCTTTGTCATAGTAATCAAATGGTGCTATAATTTTTGTTACAATCATCAAATTGGTTTTAAAATTCATGAGGAAAGAAATTTTTTAAAAAAAATATATACCCATATTTATGCTCTTTCCATTATTTCTTCTTCCTTTCTGATGCTCCATTATTCCTTCGTTTACCAATTCCTTCCTTTGGAAAAAAATCTGTTCAGCCAATCTTCAGAGTAAGTAATTTATTTCTTTGTAATATTTTAATATTTATTACATGTTGAAATTATATTTTTATATATTGAGTTAAACTGAATTCTTAAAAACGTCTGCTAGTAATATTTTTATAGCTCTTCTTCCTCTGAGAATATTTTTATTTCTCTTTCATTCCTAAAGGATAAATTTATAGAATATAGAATTTGCATTTGACAGTTCTTTTCTTTTAGCACTTGAAACGTATTGTGCCACTCCTTTCTAGTTTCCATTACTTCAAATAAGAAATCCATTATCATTTGCATTGGTATTCTGGGTAAGTGCCATGTTATCTCCCTCCAACTGCTGCAAGATTTTTTCTTGGTTTTAGTTTTCAAAGTTTTTACTTTGGTATATCTTTAACATAGATTTCTTTGTGTTTATTCTTTTAGCATTCACTCAATTCTTTGAAATTGTAGATTTGTGTCTTTTACCAAATTTACAACTTTTTTAGTCAATACTTTTTTCAAACAGCATTTCAGCCACTTTTTCTACTTTTTTTTTTCTTGGAGTGTAATGATATAAATGATGATTCCTCTGTTGTGGTCTCACAGATCCCTCAGGCTCATTTTTTCCAGTCTATTTTTTCTCTCTGTTGTTCATCTTGTGTGAATTTTATTGTTCTGTACTTAAAGTCACTGATTTCTCTTCTCTCTCATTTCTACTTTACTATTGAGCCTTTCTATATAGATTTTTACTTCTGTTATATTTTTTTAGTTTCATAATTCCAATTTTTTTATATAATCAATTGCTTTTGAAGTTTTTTATTTTTTAGATTTCTTTCAAGGAAATTTTAATTGATTAATGCTTTAAAATACATCTTAGACAATTTCAACACCTAACTTAACGTAGTATTAGTGCCTCAAATTCTCTTTTTCCCCTCAAGGTATGATTTTCTTAGTTCTTGGTATGCTGTGTGATATTTTTCCCTCTGGAATTTTGTCTATGTCTTGTCTAACTTACTTAGAGCCAGATCAAGAATAAGCCTAACTGGTCTGTCCTTTTTAAATCCACGGTGAGTAGCCTTTTGCTGTTGGGTGTTGGGATAAAAGATGCCCTTCATGATGGTGTCTCCATTCTCCTATGATATTGGTATTCCTGTTTTTTAGCTAGACACATGGCCTTCTGGAATAAAGAGTACATTTCATAGTCTCTATTTTCAGTTAAGACTGACCATGTAAATAAATCAAATCATCTTTAACTTCTTTCTACTGATTTAAATACGGATGAAGATAGGCAATCTGTTATGAAACAGATGAAGTGAAGGCATCAATCAATGAATGACAACCAATATCATAGAAAAACTTGGTTCATATACTAGTAATCATAAAGTAGCAGTAAATAGCCACATTATATTTTACCTTTTGAAAGCTACCAGGAAAAATAATAACCTTTGAAGGACACTTAGGTGATTGCAAACCTTTCCCCAAAACTTCCAGGCAAAGATCCAAATCATTAAAAGAGAAATACACACCATTCTAGCAGTAT